TTTCATTTAATGACATTTTTGTTCATATCGCTTTTTTCTTATTATGATATACTATAGAAGGAATCAACAGGATTTGATAACGGCGCTTACTCTGATCCTCCCCCTCCCCTATCCACTTCCCCCCATTTGTATAGAAATGTAAATTATTTTGTCATGATATGATGATATTTTGATTTTGCTTTTGTATAAACTTTATCTAGTACATATAAAATATTTATGGTCACTTCTATGAAAGATTTACTTCTTGTATAGAATAAACATTTAGATATTTATGTCATGTAAAAATATTTACTCTAAAAAACATATGCTTAAATTTACATGTTCTTAGTCTAAAATACTTGTGTTTATAAGTCCTCACAACAGCCCCAGCCCCATGGACAGGAACATATTTAATAAGATCTTAAACAGCTTGTCCTTTGACTTCCTTGCAGCCTTTCTACCATGTGCCTACCCCTAGATCCCACATACTTTTTGGTACTGTTAATAAATCAATGTATTTTACTTTGGATTATCTCAACCATGAATCGAAACATTTACATACACTGGTACTATTTGAAGTGTTATCAGGTTAGAAGACTTAGCTTTCACTATTTTTCTGTAATTAAAGATTAAATTAAATCATTACCATAAATTAGTAAACCTGCATTGAAATTTTGTATTTGTAATTATCTATGCGAAAAGGAATAGGATTCAAAAGGATATTGATAATGAAAAATGTAGATGTATTTTGATTAAAAATTTCTCAGTAGCCTATAATTTTCTGTAATGTTGGTACAATTTCAGTGAGCAATACCATTAATCCTTGTGTGTGGTTGAATTCCTAGATACCTTTTGTGTACAAAAGAGTTAATATGTTTGCACACAAAACGGTACAAAATCTGGGCACAGCTTGTTCACTACAGAATTTATCACCTTGAGAAATTTTTAACCGTTTAACTATTTGTTTTCCATAGTCGTTTGTATTAATTGTGAAAGCATTGTGTTGTAAAATATTAAAAAAGATCTTTTCAGTATCATTTTTTTAACTTTTCATAATTGCATATATTCTGAAAATGGGTGGTGAGTTGTTTGACCTTCAGCTGACTATACTTGAGGTCACGTTGCTGTTACCAGTTTTGATTTTGTGATTCTGATATAGATTTTTTTTCATTGTCTGACAGTTTGTTGTTCATATGGATTTTTCACCTACAGTGTATAGCCATATTTTCTACTCAGTGTTTGGTTAACTTACTGATGAATTTATGGAAGTGTAAAAGCTGATTTGATACTTGAAGTTAGAGCCAGAATGTGTGAAGCAATATCTGCATCATAAGTTTGTGTGCATCAAGAAGGAATATACCAAAACATCATGAGGATAACTTTAGGTGAGGACAGACAAAGATGACAGATACAAGGTTCATTCTAGCAGAAATGTACTGAATTCTGGTTTCTCTCAATGAGTGAAAAAGTGTAGTGTTGGGTTATCTCCCCTTGATTTTTTAATACAAACTGATCATGAAATACATATACTTAAAAGTTCTGTGGTCCATCAGTGAAACCCGATCTGAATCAACTAAAATAAAAACATATAAATGGCCATTTGAAGAAAAAATGATGTTTTAGGTGTCAAAATATAATGCAAAATTAGGAAAAGGAGAGAGGTGAATAGATATTAATATTGGACAACAAGAAAATGTATATTGTCTCTCTGTATTTAATCAAATATTACAGGATTAATAAATGTTTGATTAAACTTCATTTACCAGTTATATATAGGACAAAAACAGGGAAAAAAACCTCCCCCCACTCCCCCAAAGAAAACTTAGAAATTGAAGCTGACAGTACTTTCCAGATTACCTCCCTTTATTGCCACTCTCTCAGTGTTTGCTTTGTGGCCTGGTTGTTACTCCTGGATTATTGTGGGGGTAAAATTAATTTGTTCTGTAATCCTTTTACCTGCATCTAAGATTAAAAACAGGTATTAGTGCAGATCAATCGCGACAGGGATTAAAATTGGAAAATTTATAATTAATGGACATTGATATTAAACCACCAGTCTTCAGGAACATATGGCTGGCTTTAGAGTGAATAGAAACTGTGTATTTCAGCTATTTAAGAGGCTTATACCAGTTTGATCTTATTTTCAGTTTAGGCCTCTGTATGACAGGATCATGACAGAGTCCTGTATGTATGCATATGTATATCATTTTCCGTAAAATATTTGCTTCAGCACGTTGTTCGAACATTGGCGTAAAGACAGTGTTTAGTAGCTCTAATACTACACAGTTCTAGAACAGGCCCAGAAATAACAGTCTAGATACAGAGAATCATGTTCAGAAGGCTATAGATTCCAGAACGGTGTCAGATTCCTGGTAGAATTCTGTCCTTTAGTGTGGTTGTTCTGTTGCTCACTTTAATGACTGTTTACAAATCAATGGATTTAAAAAGAATCTGTTAATGGAGGTAAGTTGTCTATCTATTGATACAAGGGATGTGGATGTATATTTGTACAGAGATCTACAGATTGAAAAGTAGACTTTACAACAAAGTGATACACTCAGTACCATTAGTGTTCATTTTAAGATGAATCAATATATGTTAAAGTCATGAGATTCAGCAATGTAAAAAGTACTTGTTACACATATGTTTATACATATCAATTGTTTACTTTTATGATTTATTGATTTTGAAATGTTGAGGCATTGTTTTGTGACTGTAGCATTATGTTAACTTGTAATTCTAATTTAAACACCTGTAATTTGAAAACTCATCTACCTGTAATTTTCAGTTACACACCTGTATTTTGATGGACAACCTGTTTACCTGTAACATTCATTTACACACCTGTATTTTGATGGACAACCTGTTACCTGTAACATTCAGTTACACACCTGTATTTTGATGGACAACCTGTTTACCTGTAACATTCATTTACACACCTGTATTTTGAAAGACAACCTGTTTACCTGTAACATTCATTTACACACCTGTATTTTGAAGGACAACCTGTTTACCTGTAACATTCATTTACACACCTGTATTTTGACAACCTGTTTACCTGTAACATTTATTTACACACCTGTATTTTGATGGACAACCTGTTTACCTGTAACACTCATTTACACACCTGTATTTTGATGGACAACCTGTTTACCTGTAACATTCATTTACACACCTGTATTTTGATGGACAACCTGTTTACCTGTAACATTCATTTACACACCTGTATTTTGATGGACAACCTGTTTACCTGTAACATTCATTTACACACCTGTATTTTGATGGACAACCTGTTTACCTGTAACATTCATTTACACACCTGTATTTTGATGGACAACCTGTTTACCTGTAACATTCATTTACACACCTGTATTTTGATGGACAACCTGTTTACCTGTAACATTCATTTACACACCTGTATTTTGATGGACAACCTGTTTACCTGTAACATTCATTTACACACCAGTATTTTGATGGACAACCTGTTTACCTGTAACATTCATTTACACACCTGTATTTTGATGGACAACCTGTTTACCTGTAACACTCATTTACACACCTGTATTTTGATGGACAACCTGTTTACCTGTAACATTCATTTACACACCTGTATTTTGATGGACAACCTGTTTACCTGTAACATTCATTTACACACCTGTATTTTGATGGACAACCTGTTACCTGTAACATTCATTTACACACCTGTATTTTGATGGACAACCTGTTTACCTGTAACATTCATTTACACACCTGTATTTTGATGGACAACCTGTTTACCTGTAACATTCATTTACACACCTGTATTTTGATGGACAACCTGTTACCTGTAACATTCATTTACACACCTGTATTTTGATGGACAACCTGTTACCTGTAACATTCATTTACACACCTGTATTTTGATGGACAACCTGTTTACCTGTAACACTCATTTACACACCTGTATATTTAGAGAAAGACTTTATCTACCTGTGAAGACATGCTTAAGTTAAAATTAATTACAGATTAGAAGAATTACCTGGGGATTAGACAGCTAGTTAGACAGTCAGATCATCTCTAATGATCTGGGATGATCCTTACTCGTCAGCTGAGATCTTCAAAAGTACAAACAAGTTCCTTATCCCGATTTAACAAAGTTAGATCCACATTTAAAAAAAAAAGACAAATCATACTTGAATTAAGTCTTGTATGACGGAATCATTGATAACAGTAGGAGAAAGTGCTATTATCTTATTTCCCAAAGGGAGATAACTTTTGTTGTGCCCTTTGGTTTTCGATACAAAATAGCTGGTGTGTGGTGTACAGACCAGTCAACTCATTGTCCATAGTGTGAATTATTAAAACATCAGGATATATCTATGAATAATTACAAAGTTGATGCGGTATATGTTTGTGCTAAAAATTGTGCAAATGCTTAGAAATCAATAAGTACCGGTGTTGATATTTACATCAAGATATAGCTGACGGAATTTTACTCATGAATATTCATTTGATCGCAATAATATACATCTGTATTTCATAATGAACATTGAACTGTACTTGATAAAGGACTATTGAAGGTACTGAGTTTATATAACAGTTAATACCCATATCTGGTAATAAGTCCACCCATATCTATTACTGTTCGTCAGCATTACTAGATACAAACAATTACTGGTAGTATTTCCTGTGTCCTGTAATAAGCCCACCTTAGTTTGGAGTCAGAGGCATTGTGTTGGCCAAATAAGCTTATTTCAAGATACTTACATATGTTAAATAATACATAGATATGATATTTAATAAATTTAAATCTGATTAATACTAAATTTTTTAAAATGTGTAATTTAAATGATGAATATTTAATTTTTATTTTGAATATTCAAACCAATATGCATATACACATGTTTTGTTATGAATATTTTTATAGACCTACAGTTGCCTTCATTTATAACCACTGAACCTATAGGCTTGTGCCAATGAAATAGCACAATGCTAAACTAGATGTTTATCTGATTTACATATTGTACCTGATCTGCATATTCATGAGTTTTCTTTGTTATGACAGACGTAAGCTGCTGAAGCAGCTCCACCCAAACAAGCGCCAGCTGCGTATGTGGGATCCTGAGGTAATCGCCATGAAGCAAGAGTCACTTGTCCGACAGGTCTATGGTATGTATTCTGATGTTTGTGCTACAGTTTGGGATTAACATAATTTAAGTTGTAAATCAAAATTGCCACAAGACATTGTAATTCATTTGTAAAAAGTTTGTGAAATAATTGAAGATAATGTTTTCTTAAATAACTGAATATCGTAATGTTGTGATTGAAAAATGTGCTTTTTTTGATGTATTCATCACCATCTTACCCGTCATATTTAAGGCTGTCATATTTATAATAACTGAAAACATATTACATATTCTTATAAATAGGTTCTCAAAATTAAAGTAAAAGTGATGGTAACTAATAGAGTTTTCTTCAGCCACTTTCTGCCTCTAAATACATAATCTTCATCTTTTAGGAGAAAATCTCCCAGCTCCATTTTGGCATCCGATTCCCAAACGTCCAATTAGGCCGTACTACACACGATGGGTTCCGTCTGCTGCAGGTATGTCTGAGTCCACTACCAATACACCTGAGTTCTCTACCATTATGTCTGAGTTCACTACCAATATGTTTGAGTTCTCTACCAATATGTTTGAGTTCTCTACCAATATGCCTGAGTCCACTACCAATATGTTTAAGTTCTCTACCAATACGCCTGAGTTCTCCACCAATACACCTGAGTTTACTATCAATATACCCGAGTTTACTACCAATACACCTGAGTTCCCTACCAATACACCTGAGTTCACTACCAACACACCTGAGTTCACTACCAATATACTAAAGTTCACTACCAATATACTAAAGTTTGCTACCAATACACCTGAGTTCACTACCAATACACCGGAGTTCACTACCAACACACCTGAGTTCACTACCAATACACCTGAGTTCACTACCAACACACCTGAGTTCACTGCCAATATACCTGACTTCAGTACTAGCACACTGATAGTACATCAGAGTTCACTACCACTTACCCTATTTCAGTACATATACACCTGATTTCTCAGTCAGTGCACCAGAGTTTACAACCTGTAAACAAGAATTCACTACCAGTCACTTTAGTTCACTATCTGTCACCAAAGTTCACAAATTGTACACCCGAATCCATAAGATGTGAAAAACACTAGACTTAATACACAATATGATCTTTTACATTCAAATAAACATGAACATGATGATAACACATCCTAAATCATTATATTTTTTTTGACAGCAACATCCTACAACTTTGCTGTGGATAGATACCACCCATTGATGGCAAAGAAGGGCTATCTACCAACTCCTTTCTTGGACATGATGGGACATCCAAGGGACTTCAACTGGGGCCCAATGGAGGATGAAGAATTCAATGGTAAGTAACCATTAAAAAACTCCCAGAGTTCAGAAAAAAAATATCGGCGATGATGAACATAAGAGTTTCTTAGTCAAAAGAAATATATTTAAAACAAATACCTGTCTTTAAAGGCCACATGTATATAATAAATACCTGTTTATATAGGCCACCTCTATACAACTAATACTTGTCAATTAAGGTCATCTGTCTATAAAGGCCACTGGCCTGTAACAAAAACCTGATTATAAAGGTCACTGGTTTCTGGTCCCAATGTTATACAGTGAACCGTGTTTTGTATTATCTCCCTTTGCCTGTATAAAATGATTCCACTTTTCTTTCGGGTGATTATAATTCAAAAAAAGTTAACTCTATGTATTATAATGTGTATAGGACAGATTCTGTGGCCATTATTGCTCAACAATTGATTTCTCTGGTACTGATATTGGTCTTATCTTATTTCTTTATAGAGAACTTACGCTATATGAGAGTACCAAGCACAGCTAGAGCGAGGCAGTATTCCTACCACATGAGTCGAACCAACACCACCTCTGGAACACTTCCCACACGTACCTCCAACAAAATGTAAACGACGCCACATCAGGAAAATTTTATGACACGTACCTCCAACAAAATCGAAATGTAAACACCACACAACAGAAACACTTCCGACATGTACCTCAGACAAGATGTAAACAACACCACCTCAGGAACACTTCTGACACATACCTCAGACAAGATGTAAACAACACCACCTCAGGAACACTTCTGACACGTACCTCAGACAAGATGTAAACAACTCCACAACAGAAACACTTCTGACACATACCTCAGACAAGATATAAACAACACCACCTCAGGAACACTTCTGACACGTACCTCAGACAAGATGTAAACAACTCCACAACAGAAACACTTCTGACACATACCTCAGACAAGATATAAACAACACCACCTCAGGAATACTTCTGACACGTTCCTCAGACAAGATATAAACAACACCACCTCAGGAACACTTCTGACACGTTCCTCAGACAAGATATAAACAACACCACCTCAGGAATACTTCTGACACGTTCCTCAGACAAGATGTAAACAACACCACCTCAGGAACACTTCTGAAAGATATCACCAACAACACTTCAAATCAATTGATGTAATCTAACCAGAAACGATTGCTGCAATGGAAGCAAGTGTATTAATCACACAGTCGACACTCTGATAAGTAGCTGCTATCATAGAATAAATTTAGTGAGTAAAAGTGTATTGCTCTGGCACTCTAAATATACTGAATTTGGCTCAAAAACTTTTTAATTGTTATCAATTTTTAGTAAAAAAAACAGCATGATAATAATAATTTATAAACAATACAAAAATTTACAATGAGCACTATCATGTTTCAGCACAATAATATCAGTGTTGAAAATAATATCCCGCTTAAAATATGTGTGTTTACAGTGAACAATTTACAATAATTTGAAGATATTTCACAGTAATTTTCAGAAATTTGTAGACATTTTACTGTAATTTACAGACATTTTACAGTAACTTGCAAACATTAAGAGTAATTAATTGACATTTTCAGAAATTTATAGGCATTCTACAGTAATTTCCAGATATTCTTGACACCTGCTAGTAGATTTTACTTCAGCATTGCCTTTCTTCTAGGAAATCATCAGATAATATCAGGTTTGGATTGAAATATTTTCATTGCTGGAAAAGTATACCATGTGTAAATATTTCTAAAGTAATTGTCCGAGATATTTCAGAAAATATCAGGTAAATATATTTACATATTATGTTTCAGAAAGAATTTGTTAACTGTTCTGTGTGAAGATGAAAGTGCTTTAACCATGTACTTGTAAAAATTAGAAATATAGTATTGTGCCATGTGTTTGCCAAATATCTGGATAGATTTTTGATGCAAAATATTGCATTTTCTTTAAAACATGAAAAGGGGAACAATTTGATTACATAAGTGTCAGGGAAACCTCTTCCCTGATAGATATTGTCGTATGACGAGCATATTAACCTCTCCCTGATATATATTGTCGCATGACAAGTGTATCAACCTCTCCCCTGATATATAGTGTCGTATGACAAGCATATCAACCTCTCCCCTGATATATAGTGTCGTATGACGAGCGTATCAACCACGTCCCTGATATATATTGTCGTATGACAATCAAATGTTTGAAAAACAAAGACTATTTAGTAAACAGAGGCCTCTGACAACTGATTTAAGACAGGTAGATAAGTGTGACATGTAAAGAATATGTGAAAATCTGTTATATTTTAGGCGAGATTGAAGACTTTAACAATTTTATTCTTTACAGTGCAGGAGAGGAATTTTTTCACCCCACAATACCTGGTACCTGTTCTTTTATGTGTTTGTATGATTTTCTCGTTAACTTACCTGTTGTGTTATGGACAACTACTCAACCTCTTTTAGTAGAATGATGTCAACCAGTTTTAGATATTACTTATTTTGGTATTTTCTTCCACTTAGAATGTCCTAATAATAAAGCCATTTGATTCTCAGTGATACACCCATCAAAACTTTGACAGGACATGTGTTCGCTGGTCAGACATCATTTTTTTTGCCCATGAACCTCCTCTTTTCAAATTTAGCAAGCTTTATTACCATCATGTAAAGCTGTTTTTTTAATGGCATTTTGATTCATCATTTTTTGGAAGTTATTGCCCTTTGTTTTTATTTTTCATCATTTTAATCTTTTAACTATGTAGGCATTTTCATGTTGTGGTTAAAAATGTTATCGTTTGTGAAAAGATTTAACATAAGATTGTATTTCTCGTCGTCATCAGAATTTTCTTGTACTTGTACAAACAGTCTGATATTCTAAAGGCAAAGTAAGATATATACTGTATTCAAACAGATTCTGGATGAGAATAATTTTATATAAAGAACTGAAATTGGAAATATGAATTGTTGTAAATATTTTATTTTCATGAAAAGTTATGCTTTATTTTAGGATGACTTTCCGTCTGATAAATTGTTACATATGATATATGTATGTACAGTCAATCATTTTGTGTTACTAGTATTTGCACAATGCTTGAATCCGTCCATTTTGTACAATCTGATCAGCTAACTGTGATAATTGTTTTTTTGACTCTTGCACCCCTCTTTTACATTGGAACAATCTTCAATGGAAGAGTCTAGTGTGGATTGGGAGGATGAGCAGGTTAAATTGATGCGAGTTTAAAAATTGAATGTATCTATTGCTAGGTTGATGTTTCTAAATATGAAATTATTGAAAAAAATTAGGAAAAAAATATTAAAATATTGTCAATAAATTTCTGTTGTCTTAAAAGATATGTTATAAAATAGAGATATTTATTGAATCGTTTGTTTGTGTTGTTTATCTCAACTTGTAATTGATTATGTATATTAGCCAGTTTTACACTGTATCTATCAATCTTACCTAGGACTACAAATACTTAATGTTGGTAGGGAATTAATGGACTTTATAAGTACTCTTAATCCACTGTTTCACATGTCCTATGTTAACTGTTATAATCGATGTTAGAACATGTATTTGAGATTTTTCTTAATCCATGAAATCAAATGCCCACTAAAGTTTTGGATAAACCACGAAAATTGAGCACCAGGAAAATACATGATGTTACAGTATTAGTTTGCTATCACTCTTTCTGGAGAAGGATCACTCTCAAATTTCATATGTTGATTCCCCATAAATTTCCCTTGGTCCCTCCTTGTGCATTATCTAACTCTGGGACTGATCTAGAAAACAAAATTGGTTAATAGGCAGCCATCTTGGATTTTGAGAGTGATGGTTTTTGTTGCCGCTATGATTTATGGATCATTCTCAAACTTCATATTTAGGTTTCCTTTGTCCCTAGTTTTGTGTAGACCATTTACAGGGGAATTAGGAGATTAGTTGAGCCAGCAAGAACATCTTCATGGTCAATAAAACACAATCTGACCCTATTTCCCATTGCAAGGTCAATACTCAAAATCCGTTCAGCTGATGAAGACACAAATGTATAATGTATAAAAGATATTTTGCCTACATTAAAGAAAACAAACAAATTTCCTTCAAATTTAGCAAGTTTTTAATCATTTTATGTTTTTAAAAGATCAGAAGCACTTTTTAAACATTTCAGTTTGCATGGATTTTATTACATTATATATACAACAAATCGTACATATTTGAGCCTACTTGTACCTATATACTTGATGATCTACAACAGACCTCTATATATAATGTAAAGTATCATACACACAGAAATATGTACACCACTATCTACAACATAAGCCAGCACAATAAGCTCTACATTCAATATGTATGTTAATTTAATTAAAAAAAATATATCAAACTTGATAATTATAATAATAAGCTGATTTTGTATAAGCATCACAGATTTGCATAACAAACATGAAAAATTTGCCAAGTCAACTGGCAGCTTGTAAATATATATATGTGTGTATATATATATCTATGGTAACATTACATATCAAAAACCACCTGTAAACCCCCATATCACAATATAGAATATTCCAATTATATTTGGATAGGGAAGGTTCATTTCTGAAATAGAGGGTGAACAGGCGATTTCTGGCGGGATTAAACTGGCGTCTATATTTAGAAACACTTTTGCATTACAACAATCTCTTGAAGAAAATATTTGAAATCGGAAAATTGCACGTTGTCTTACACATTTAGTCTGAATCTAAATAGGCCTTTTATACAATTCACATGTAACATATGTTGGCAAAAAACAATAGCTTTTAGAATGATTTCTCAAACATGGAAAATACAAAATTCTGTTATAATTATGACCTAGTACACACCATTCCCCAATAAGCATGCCTGAATCACAATCACTTTTTAGTACATCGATATTTTAATTACAATATATTGTCCAGTACCTGATTTTCAGATAAGTAAACTCCCAAAATCCAATGAAGGATAACCATTATCTTGTATTGACGATTGTAGATTCTTACTTATTGTTTGCAAAACAAATTATTTTTTAAATCAAATTAAAGGAAACCTACTTCATGTCGAGAAATTTCTTTTTGTGCATGGAAGTTGAACCCAACAGAGGTCAGCTTAACTGTTAACATAAACGTAGATATATAATGATGAGTGTAAGCATTTTGGGAGGGTTGCTATGGTAACACTTTTATAAGTATACAATAATTCTATACAGTCAGAAACAAGAGATCAAAAGACAGAAAAATAAGACAACGATTAACACGACACATACAGATACAAAAGCGTGATTCATTTCAAAATGTGAATTTTCAAATTAATGTCATAAAAATGTGGAAGTTGAATTACTGATGATGCATTACGTGTTCGTCAAGTGAACTTCAAAATAAACTTTGAAATACATTTATGTAAGATACATCTTTAAGTGGGTTGAATACAAAGAGAAGCTAGAGAAACACATCCAAAATATTTAAACTCGTCCAAAATATTTTCCATCAAATGTAAATATAAAAGGCTTATCATGGTATGTAATGGGCTTAGATTTTACAAATGATAGAAAACTGAAATAGTGAAGGTTATATTGATGTTGAAATGAAATTTCCTCAAAAAGATAAGTTTAAATAAAAGGGGTAAGTAACTGATAAGAATTACAAATTAGAAAACAAGTTACTATGGTAGCCAGACAAACACATCAACACATAAGCACAACACATTGGTAGAGATATGTATATCACATCTCGCTGAGAAAAAATGTTCAGTACAAGATCATGTCACACCTATACAATATATAAGATCAAATGGAGACAGTGTTAATATATTTTTAACAAATATTCATTAAATTCTTTTTAATCATGTGATCGGTTTGTAAGGTAAATAACATGCATATTTTGCATTAAATTTGACTTAAATCTATAGTATGATATCCAAACATGGTGGAGAGTAACAGGACCACACATAACTTATCTTTTTGAGATTTTCGGAAGATTCTGTATAATAAAGAATTGATCAGATAACAAAACGAACCAAATATGGGACCAAAAAAATAATGCCAAATCAAAAACTGGGTATAAATATTACTGTTATCAGGAAGGTTTAGAAGACTGGTTTACAAGGAGACACAGCAAAAGGGTAACAGACACAAATCCATAACTACACAATATGATTAAGGTGGAGATATAATGATATGTTATAGGATCTGACAAAAAATAATGCTGACTTACAATAATGCCACTTGTTGGGAAATTAATACAGGTTGTTGGCAAGATTATAAGTATTGGATGAAAAACATGTCTTGTTGATCATGAAAGTAAAAATTAATCTGAAACAATCTGCTACTGCAAGAAATTTACATTTATCTCTGAATCCAGACCACACAATATGTACCAAGGCAATGTTTTTATCTGCTCACCAATCAATGTTCTTATATGTCACCAATTAATGTTTATTGAGGTATAAATTCAATCTAACACGATACAAAAAAAAATTCAATTTACTAAATTGACATATAAGGAAAAGAAAACGTCATGTTTATACCAGTGGACAGGTGGAGTTATCTCCCCTCTTTGAATACTGAAGTAATTGGGTTAAGATTTTGTACATTAAAAAATACCAAAATTACACGTGCATGTGATGATGAAACAATTTTATTCTTCAAGGTTGCGCTGCCTTTTAAAAATAAATCACTTGCTACAAACAAAACATAATTCAAGCTTCAACAATTCATCAATTTCCTTATTTTCCCATTTGAAAGCCATTGCATAATATTCACAAATGAGTGAAAATTGAATGTTCCAACACTTTAAATATCTGCCTCTGTCTGGATTGTATCAAGCCAGATGTAGTTGTATCTCTTACCAGCTAAAATGGCTGATTTATCACTCCAGGTGTCTCTGACTTATTAAACAAATCTCTCCAGGTACTGTATGTTCTGGATTATTTGAGTGACACAAATTGTGAACAATAATTCCCCTTGCTAGTTTGTGACACATTTTATATTTCTCCTAATACAGATAACAATTTCAACATAAAAAATTGCAATAAGATTATTAAAAATTTTCTATAAAAATAGTTGTAAGAGGCAATATTTTATTGAAGAAAGTTGGATTTTTTATAAAAGTTGAGTATGTGAAGAGAGATGGAAGCACCTTACTATGTAAAGATTTGGAACTAGAGACATTCACATTGCTGAAATTTTATAATCTCAATAGAAAGGCTCTTACAGCAGATAGATTCACATTTTCTAAAATCACTATCATTGAACAATTATCTCCATTCACATGGATTGGAAGTGAGAAGATGTTTTGTAGAAAGACAAGAGCATAATCAAATCCTCATCAGTTCAAGCAGTTATCTCCCTTCATAAAAGTTACCTCCCTTTGTGAGACAAATGTTTGCTTATGAAAGTGTGGATTTCTTTAGAAAAGGTCGACATCCTTTTTAAGTTGATGTTGTTGCCACATTGGAAGTGCATAAAACGCATCTTTGGTCATTCCTAATGTCTCTTCAAATTCATCATCTATCAAGTATTTTTCAAGCTTCAAGGGATCCACTCCCTCTGGCAGAGGACGCTCTTGTAGTTCAGCAAATGTGTAACATGTCTTGGTCATTTTCTCGAGTATATCATGCAGGGAGACCATCTCACCATCAGTTTTACCATCCTACAAACAAGAAACAACAAAGGTAACATTATTTGACAGAGAACTGAGAAAACATCATAACAGTACAATTCTGTATAAAAACCTGGCTCTGGTTGTTCAATGGCTGGTTAGAAATAACCAGTGGTTAATGAAAATTTTCAAATGTAAATCAAACTAAGATGGGAGCATTCTTTACCAAGTTACACAGGTAAATTTGTTGAGACACATCAGACTGATTTGCATTTAATACTCTTGTTTGTTCAATGGGAGCAATTTGAATTTTTTACTAACCAACTCACTCTTAATTTTGAGCAACTTGGGCCAGCTGGTGTTCAATAAAACCCCCAAATCCCAGAGACTGGTAGATATGATCCCTAAGCTTGACTTCCTGAACTAAATCATGACCCTTGACCTTGCTTTGATACAGTTTTCTGTGATACTTAACCTTGACCTTAAACCTGTCTTATGACATCTGATTCATCTAAGATGATAATTATGCATAAACCTCAGCTTGACTTCGCGGCCTACCTCTGACCTTGCTCTGATACCTGACAGACCAATGTCATGATCCTGACCTTTGACCTTAGCCTGTTATCTTCCCTGAACTTACCCTGAGATTGATCCCCTGGACACTTTCATCAACTTCCCAATAGGGGAAGAGACCGGTAAAGCACAAAGGTTCTAAACCCCCATGGACAGCATAGGCAGCAGGTGGATTGTCTGGGTTCTTCTCTGGAATACAAGTCACATGACATTCTGTACAACCTACAGTTATATGTGGATGTGTAATGTTTCTATATAAAATATGGATGTATAATGACACACGTTCTGATGTAGACTGGCATTTCCAATAAATCATTGGCTACACAACTCAAAGAAATTATCATTAAAGACAAGAGATCCCAGAGGGATCTTGGTGCCCATCATTGTTTGATTTTTATTTGCTCTTTGAAAGTTGGATCCTTTTCTTTCTTTTTACTTCTCTGTTTTAGCTCTTAACAATAAGAAATTTAAACACTCCTTTGCAAAAATACCAATGATAATCTTTACTTGCCAAATCAAAGATGGTCACCTGAAAGCCATTTTGTTTTAATAAAAACCAAACTTCACCACATTCAGTACACAGATCTACAAGACCTTTTCAGACATATATTTCAGTATGGTCAGGGTTGGTCCCTAACAGTAACAGGACATACGTAGCCTGGTTTTGCCTGCAGATAGCCTACCTCGGCAGTAATGAAGAACCGTATCTATTGCACATTTGCGGTCAACATTGAACCTGGACTGAGCTGACCCAGTTATGACATTGTCCACTTCAGCATCTCCCTCCGGCCACCAGCCATGCCAAAGAAACACTGTATGGTGATTGTCCACCAGAAACAGTCCTGTAACAAAAGTGTTTTAAAGTAACCACACTCTATTCCACTAGAATCAGAACTGAAGCATACACACAGCTAGTTAATGTTATCACATACCTAGCCTGTTTACTCCTTGTAAGGTACACATATAGAAAAGAAGCACTTAAGTCACATCCATGATGTTATGAATCTGTCAGATTCAAACTTTGCATGTCTTATATGAAAATTAACTGGACATTTTTTCTCTGATTCTATAATATGTCTTACGTTCATAGCCATTCCATACTGAATTGTATGACACTCCCTAAAAGGACTGTGTAATATCAAAACCATGAACTCATTTAACAAGATCTAAACATGTATATGAAACTTTCATGAACCCTTGAGTGAGGGGAGACAACTCACCTGGCTGTGAGGCCTTGTAGAGGTCAGACTGTAGGAAGGGATAGGGAGTGACTAGATCTTGGGTACGAGAAGGGTTCTGGATTTCATGAACTTCAAACACACCAGACACACTGGACATATGGAAAAGTCTTATGGTGTAATCGTAGAGCTGGCGATCTGTAAAACAAAGGTCAGAGGTCATAGTCGGAAGGCTATAAACAAACAAATAAAAATCACCTTCTGTGTTGGACTCAATCGTATCAGTGATATTACCTGAAACCTCCCAGTGAAGCCTTATGAATATACAGTTGTATCCCAAATAGGTTTGTAAAGACTGCAAAATTTTATACATTGAGGTGCCTCAACACATACATCCCCCATCCCCTCAATTCCACTAATGAAATAAATAAACTTTCTATGTTTTACAACAGTTGTGAAACTAATCCCATCAATATCAGTGGCTGGGATAAAAGTGCATGGAGTACTTGACTGTCAGAGAAACTAAAGCACTCCAGTTTCTTCATTCTATAATTATGTAGAATTTTACTGTTGTTTCGATTCTAAAATTTTACAATTTCCTGCGACAATTACAGCCCTAAACAAATTAATACGTACCTGATAATAATGAATGGTAATTATACGTACCCGATAATAATGAATGGTAATTATATGTACCCGATAATAATGAATGGTAATTAAATGTACCCGATAATAATGAATGGTAATTATACGTACCCGATAATAATGAATGGTAATTATATGTACCCGATAATAATGAATGGTAATTATATGTACCCGATAATAATGAATGGTAATTATATGTACCCGATAATAATGAATGGTAAGACGTTCTATCTTTATCTGTTGACCCCATGACCTTGAGGAAATCATCACGCTCAGCACCTTCCTCCATTTCTATCACATAGATTTCAGCTTTGTCATGAAGACCGATTTCTAAAGGACACCTGCAATCACAGAAAATTATATCATGATTTTGATTTCCTATAAAGTTGACATTTAAACCATCAAAAAATATTAAAAATAGTTCCCTGTTGCTAATGTCAACAAGATTTGTACATAACACATGGTCCAGTCATTTTCATTCTACAGTTAAAGTAAGTAGTTTTAAGATAGCTGGACAATTGGAAAAAATTTTGACGGCAAATGGTCATGTGATAGGACACACAACAGACTGATGATAACGAAACAATTAATTTAATGTTTGACACTAGATCTGTAGGGATCGACAATGAATGCAAGTTATTAGTCATGACTTGATATGGGGACCAACTGGACTGGAATATATAATAAGTGATCATGTGACACTTTTACCATGAAAAAGTATAAGGTGACGCCACATGATATAAAACATGAATAGTCAGTAGATCAGGTGACACAATAATCATGAATATGTATTAGGTGACCCCACATGATATCAAACATGAATATTCAGTAGATCATGTGACATAGTAATCATGAATATGTATTAGGTGACCCCACATGATATTAAACATGAATATTCAGTAGATCAGGTGACACAGTAATCATGAATATGTATTAGGTGACCCCACATGATATCAAACATGAATATTCAGTAGATCAGGTGACACAGTAATCATGAATATGTATTAGGTGAACAGTGACTATGATTGTAGAGTTAAAATATTTCTTACAAATGTACATGAAGTACTACTGCCTGACATCAATATGAATTCACTTACTGGGATTTGAGGTTGTCGACTGCTGCTTTGGCAAGGCCCCGAATGTTTTCTGGAGACTTGGCACCATGCCAAATATAGAGAAGTCCACTGTTAACATTGAGAAGGATGAAGGTGGAACGACTCCGTAAACAATCCATGCCTGCCCGAACCTCCACTAAACACATCTCATTCTTACAGTCATTACGAACACAGTAACATCGCCAGGAACCCTGGGTATTGGTTTCCTCTTCCTCCCGCTTTCCCATATGAATCATCATCTTTCCGTCGAACAAGTTCAGGAAGCAGGGCATTTCTTTGGCTTCATCTACGCGTACCTGAACAACAAACACGGTAAATCAAATGTCAAGAAAAAATTTCCACAAAATTTAACATATCAGAAAACTAAACAGAGAAGAGCTTTGGAAATAACAGATTTAATCGATCAACTTAATTAATATTTGTTAATTTATCTTACCTGAGGTCCTCGTTCTTCGTCGAGTTCCACAGTCATGAGGGCTGATGCTCCTTTCTCATTGATGGTTGAGTTGCGTCCCTGCCAGAAGAAGTAGGCACATCGCTCACGTCCGACTTGTGACCGTCGAGACTGGGTCCCTTTTAATCCCTTCAACCCTACAACATCAAAACAGCTAATTATATATACAGTACATGCAGAAATATCACACCACAACACAGGCCAGAGAACGGAAATCATTGAACCATGACACACAAAACATCTGGGAGATAACACAAGAAATGCAAATTTGCACTTTTCCCCATAATTTTATAAATGACATTTAGTTTTAACATCTATTTATGGTGCTTAATATCTCATTTTGAAAAAATTCTATTTCCTGAGCACATGGTTTTGTTGATATTTAATGCTCAAAATTTACGAAAAACTAAAAATTTGTATCAAATTCTGAATTGTCTGTTGAATCATATGGATTAAAATTCTTGGAATTAGTGAACCCATAAAGTAACCACAAATAAAGCAATCATCATATTAAACACTGTCACAGTTAGTTACCTGCTTGGGTAATCATATACTGCCATCGCACCACATAAGTATCACCGTCATGGAATTGGCCAAAACTCAGGTCAGGCATCTTAAAGTGGTCATACTCGAGGACATGCCAAACAGTTACTCCTAAAGTTACAATGCTCTGCTCTCTTGTGAAACCCTCCATATCCTCAAACCTGTTAGTGTATTCAGATAATTTAAAATCATGCCCCGGTATTATTCAAGAAGAAAAAAAAATTTTAAATTTTCATTAAACCAACTAGTTTTAGAAATATCCCCTGTCCAGTCTAATTCTGAGTAACTTTTTAAGAGCAAACTCCATGATCCATGTTCCAGTACTTTGGTTGCAATCAAGTTTAAAATGATCAACTTCCCCGGATTAATCTGGACTTTTCAGTCTTTCTGACTGCTGTAAATTCCACTTTACGATGGTATAGTTTACTGAACAATACTGTATGTTTATGGTGAAACAGAATATTTACCATTGCACTCCTCTGCCGACATGTGATCCCTCCAGAAGTAAAGACACTGGTTTAGTGTCAACAGGAATCATTAATTTGGCATCGTAAGGTTTCAGTTCCACTAGGTCCACCTGTATGAAAATACATTCAAGTTTGAATTTGAATTAAACCTCATTAAAATTGATACTCATAAATGAAGGCAAGTGTAACACCACAACCGAAGGTCCTCTGTAAAACAAATTCTCTGATACCTTATTTAGGAAAACAATTAAAATCAAGTTAAGTTTTGTATGCATTTGGTAAGTAAATTATACCTTTCTTACATCAGTAATGATTTTTATGATCCTGTCGTGATGACATAGAGATTCTTGCTCACAGGCAAGAAGTTATTCTAGGATAATGAAGGCATATTTTTTGATATTCAATGGAATAGAGATGAGTGGGCTTATTACCAGGCATGAACTTAAAGGATGAATATGGTAACTCTATCAAGTTCACATTTTAGGGATGTGATCAACCATGAAATCAGAAAAACATTACAACAAGCAGAAATTAATCCAAACCCATCCATCTTTTATCATTTAAATGTAATTTGGTTTGAACATTCCAGCAAAGAAACATATCAGGGGGTATCTGTGATATTTATCAACGGGGATAATTTTTTCATTCATATTTCATCTTAACACAAGAAATGATCAACAGCATCTGACGCAACATCTGTACTATCTCAGCATACCTGATGTATATACTCGATATGTCTGGTAATAAGCCCACCAGCATCTACTGATATTCAATGAAATTATCAACACAATATTTCCAGTCCTGTTGGCTTGTCCTTCTGCAAGACTAGGAGACAGAAGTATTGTGTAGGACTCGTGGGATATATAGAGGATTTACCATAGCAGCCAATCAAATGCTTTAGACCTGATGGCTGACAGTTATCTTACCTTATTCCCAGAAAGATCTGTCTGGCTTTTGCACTTTATAAGGCGAGAGCTATCTGGCCAATCAGAAAACTTTTCTTTAAACAGAACAGTCTCCATATTCTGGTTCACCTTGCCAAACAGCGCCCAAGATGGTCGTACAGAATTTTTTGTGGGTAACCCACCCTCTTCTTCAACTGAAAAGGAAAGTTATTCAGAATATAGCATAAAGAAAGGATTATGAATTTTGCATATTACAAAAATAAGGTAATAAAGAGTTGAGATTAAATGTTCTGTTTAAGCTATTTAAACTGGTGTCAATTTTTTTATGTAAACTTGAAAATTGACAAAATCATAATTTATCACATAACCAAATACATGCACTTGAGACACAGGGGCTAGATACAACATACACATGTTTTAGATACAGGGGATTCACACATCATGCATACATTATAGACATGAGATTCACATATCCTACATACGTTTTAGACACAGGGGATTGATAGCACAGCTACTGTAATCATATCCCTTGTCCCAGAGTTGGCGTGCCAGCTTCACTCCGAGTTTTCGTTGGTCTGGTTTGACGGACTTTCCTTGCCAGATGTAAAACTCTGTCCCGAAGTCGAAGATGATTACCTGTCAATAAAATATGGTAAATACAATATTATAGGATGACTAGGAATTCAGAAATTCTGTGATAAATGTTTCATTTCCTTTTTATTTAATTTTTGTTTTTTTATAGGACACTATTTTTTTCTGAAATAAATCAATTCCATTTCTGTAGGCCTTTGGTACTTTTTAACAGGATAGAACCACATTTAAAAATGTAAGAATAAAACACAGCTGGTTACAGAAATTTTGTAAAGCACAAATTTTTATACATCTCACATATCTTTAAAACACTGAATTTGTTAAATACAAATTGTTATGACACGTCAGGAACAGACCACTTGCCTCATCTTTTTTAAGCATTTCATACTTGGGGATAGTGCCCCAGTACTCTTCGTAAGGCTGGAGGGTGTTGTCTTTGAGACGGTACACCATGTTGGTTTCAACGATGTGGTTCTCATACAACTCGTCTTCCTCTGTAGGACCACCCGCTATAAAAATTCAAGAAATTTTGTTGTAAACTGTACTGCTAACAAAACGTCTTGTGCAATTACTTTTCAAAATATCTAATTGGAACAAATTATCATCATTTTATTTTATTATTACTTACGAGCAATCTCCTTTTGCCCACCGAGTGCTGCCCAGAATTGTTTGCCTGTTCCCAAGTGCTGTCGTGCTTCCTCCACAGACCCCACTGCACTGGCCCCTTTACAACCCATGTCCTTCTTTTGAACAATCATGGAGGCCACATCAGCTGCCTGAAAACATGGAAGTACTGATATACAGAAGGGCTATCTCAAAGTATTAAAAGCCAGAAACATGGAGACAGACATACCTATAGGGGATATCTCAGAGATGTCAATGGTTGGAAACATGGAGAAAGACATGTCTACAGGAGTTGTCTCAAAGAGGACACATGGATGGACAGACATCCCTAGGGGTTATCTCAAAAATGTTCATAGACTGGAAATATGGAGGATCGGACATCTATAAGGGTTATCTCAATACTAAATAAAATGGGCACTGTACAGCTGACTCGGCCACATTTTACAGAACCATATCCAACTTGTGTTACATGACAGATGCTGCATCATACTGAGGTTTACACTCACCTTGGCCTTCTCTATAACATTACAGTACTCTCCTATCCAGGTGAGAGCCTTCTCGGGGGTCACCAAGACATAACAATCACCACTGTTGATCGACATAGCAACAGGTTCCACCAGTCGTGTCTGAACACGTCGACGCCCTAACAAACAAGTTATAAAAACAATCTTTTTTAGCTCCTAAAAGTTTAAACTCACAATAGTTTTAGAGATAAAACAAACATGTTCTGAGACACAGCCATTACTATAACTTAGTCTTTTTTGTAGTTTTTATAATATAATATTCTAGAAATTGTATGTATAAGGGTATATGTGTTACTGCTATCTCGAACAAAACGCTTTGTCAGGGTGATTTAGTTGTCATGGTTACCTTTGACATGGAGAAGCATGAGGTCTTTGTAGGGTTCCAGGCGTGAAGTACCACTAGTGGCCTGTTCGGCTGTCTTCCGTAGGGACACCTTGGAAAAGTTCTCTTTGCTGGCAAGACCAGCTAGTGCCTCCTGAGCAAAACCAGCTTCTCTGGAAACTGAAAATTAAAAGAAAACACATATCAACATCTGGTGTATTTGCCAATTTGCTAAATGGATCAATTTCTCAACTGAGTAAAACAAAAATTGTTTGATAAAATTTGTTTCACACAAATATACATTTTTCATATCTTTAAGAATTCCACATACATTGTGCTGTCTTTTGGCGCTTCAGTTCTTGTTCTGCGTATCCAACCTTGACCTCTTCATACTCGGATTTAACCTCCAAGTTCAAGGACATTGTCTTGAGAGGATTTTTGCTGCGGGCAGTGTATTTACGTTTTGGTCGAATCTTTCTTGTTGTTTCCAAACTGAAGATATACAGTATGAGTTAAAATTTGATGAAGTAACAGACAATTTTGCAAATGAAAAACAAGGTGTATTAAGCCAAAAACATTTCTTTTTTAATGTTGCATCATGGTTAATGAGATGCTTGTGCATATTATTTGATCAAGATCACTAAGATGCTTGTGCTTGCACTGTATTTTATCGTTATCACTCTGATGTTGGGACATTTTCCTAATACAGTAAGTTTTTATATTATTGCACAATTAACCAACTATACTTAATCATTTATTGACACCAGGATACATTGTTGTGTCCTCTAAACTGTCCGCTGCATGTGAGACACCGGTTCAAACTGACAGAAAATATTTGTGTACTTACATGTCATTGGCTTCTATAAATAGATCATCGAAGGTGTCAACCTCCACCTCAATCTTTTCATTTTGGATGATGAGATCTGTAGACTTGGTGATAAAGAAGGCCTCAAGGCTTTCCTGCTGAGGAACACTGACTTTTACAGGCCCCTTGTCCTCCTCCTCTTCTTCTTCTGCCTTAATCTCCATAGCAACATCAACCACTGGAGGGCCTGTGAAGGGGGAGGTAACTCTATCTCAAAAATGTGTTTGGAACAAAGACAAGCAATAACATCAATCTAATTTTCTTAATTAGTTTCTTTTCTTTTTATTGGTCACAGGAAACCTGTGTTATCTGCCCCTATCTGTTAATTGTAAAATCCAACAAAAACAAGTTTTATAGAGTGACTGGTTTAGAGATTATTCTGTAATCAGACAATACTGATGATAGCTTTCTCTACATTTTCAAATTCTACATAATTTTACTTCACTTAATATCTATTTTGTATTTTTCCCATTCAACAAGCATTTCTTCACACTAATATACTGTTGTTCTATTTGAGATTTTGAGTTAACACTTATAAAGCTGACTTGAAGATTTGAGATCTATGTCGTTCCAATATCCCATTTTTGCATAATTTGACCCTGAAATATACAATTCATGTTGCTTAAATAGCACAATAACTACAAGATGAGTAACTGTATCTTCTGCCATCTTCAAATCTATCTTATTTTCTGTAATGAAATAATGTCTTTCATGGCAAACTATTCATTTGTCATACACACACCACAATATAAAATATTAGTCGTATTTTCTAAATCATAACAAATCTCACTGGCAGATTTTCAGAATGGGTACAGCACTTTCATATGACCAAATCATTTACTTCCTTTTAATTTGATATCTCTTGGGAATTTTTGTAAAAAGAGCACAATTCTTATAAATATGTGAATCTCCCTACACTTCAAAACCTGCCATAGAGATATCTTTATATGGATACAAGCATCTTGACTATTCTACAAACATTTGATATTATAATATACACATGCAATTTCATGTCAGTTGACAAATTACTTTCAAACCAAAATTATTGTATATAAATATACTTAAAATGTAAATGACTTACAAATTTATATTCCATGCATTTAATCTTTACTACAATAACACTCATATCAATCAAGAAAACAAAAAGTTGAAGTTTGTCATATAGATGACAAATATATATCATAGAGAAAGGGAAGAAAATTACATTGTACATCTTACAAGCAGGGGAGATAACTACAATAAATTCTACATCAGACAGGGAAGGGAGATCACTACTGGTAATTTCATATCACAGAAGAGAGGGAGATAACTGCAAAAAAATAATAAAGGGTGGAGGAGGGGATGCCAAGAATTCATTTCTACATTCTACATCACAAACAAGCTGGGTTTGTGGTTGTTCTTCAGGCAAGGGATAAGATTTTAAAGTGCTCAGTGGAGAACCTAAGAGAAAGACATAAATATACTGTAATGAAAATAGCTGTAGTTGACATTCATATTCAGTGTAAGGGAAAGCAAGGGACAGTGCGCTCAGACTAAATTTTGAAAAGTTTTCATAAAAAACTTTCATATTTTCTTCACTCAGAGAAAATTGCTATCAAGAACAAACTCAGTTTTCAAACTTTAAATGTTGCTAAAATTAAAAAAAAAAAAAAAAAAAACGGAAATAAAAATATAAATTATTTACATCACAAATACCCATGACCTAATGAAGAAGTCCCTAACAAAAGTATAGATGAATTTTTCTCTTTCTTTTCTTATTTTTTGCTAATTTAGGACAAGTGACCATTTACTTATTTGAATTTTTCACTAAATCCACTGGATTCTGATACAAATGTAACAGCATCAATTGACTTTAACTGTTTGAGAAAAAACCTCATGCAAGATTTAATTTAAAAGACCACCAAATTATGATGATGCAATGTTAGTAATCAATTTTAATGGTTTCATGACAGTTGTCATGCATCCTGACAATTAAGTCTTCAGTAAGTTAGATGTTTAATGTTATTACATTGTAACAGGGTATGATCATTTTTAAAATTCATGCGTTTTTATATAAGAGTTGCTTCCCTTTAAAATCATTTACAGGAGAACTTATACTGATAAAAGGTTTATACCAAAGTGTGTTGAAACTGACAAACTACAGATAAAAAAAATCATTATCTAAGGCCAAAGTTTGAGAAATGTTCCTTAACATAAAGTCATTCCTCAATTAAAATTTTTCACATAGGAAAATATTCTTTTCTTTTTCTTAAATTCTTTAAACTATCAGAAATTAAAATTTTGGAATTTCCTTATGTTAAGAAACATTAGTACAATTTGGTCCAGGACCAGGACCCAACCATAAGGGGTTTGTCAACTGTCAATTGTTACTTCTGCCATACTTATAAGGTCAAGGAAGCAAACAGTCTGACTCAATGTAAGGTTTTCAAAAATGATAGGATAATTCAAAGAACTGTAGAAGCCATTGGCAAGCTTAACATTACCAGCTGTTATTAGCCTTTTACCAACTAAACACTATAAAATTCAATAATCTACAAACTAAGGATAATTAATGTAGAAGAGTTAAGGACAGCAAAAGAGCAGACGTTCACTGGAATCATGTACCTTTTGATTGATCAAAACCTGATATAACCTTCACCCAACAGTACGGATCTTAAAGAAACATCTAATGTTAAAGTAATGCATTTTAACTACCTACCATTCCTGTAAATTATTTTCCATTCTACACCATCATTCAACCAAATGCTAATTCCAAACCCAGTGCACTAACATTTGTTTACTGTTTCTTACATTAAATTTAGTGAAAAAACCAGAAACCATTATTTTAGTGGAATTAAGCCAGACTGAAGGAATGTTTTCTCTGGCAAGCAACTCTTATCCGTTCATTGTCGGACGATACAACAGAGTTTAGATATGTGTGCAGAGAGTTAAAAATCTACCCACTAAGGCAATGTTAGGTCGTTAAAGGTGTACCAAACACCTGGGTTTTTTTTTACCTGACACCAGTGTGGTCGGGAAAGGAATTTTGGGCCATTCTTTGCTGGGGGTTGATGGTGAAGTGATCTCTGACCCCGATTCAGAATCAGACTCTGTAAAATGAAACGGTGAGGTACTTCTCGTGTTAGTATTGCAGCTTAGCAATAAGTTACTCATCAAGCCTGTGATTCGATAATATTTTTTTCTGACATCACTCAAGTGGGAGGTCCGTCCCACCACATCTGGTTATATGTAAACATATGAAGCAAATCTATCTAATGAGTAAACTGCGTTTCTTCAGAAGAAATTAATATGAACAAAAGTTTGTTAATTTGAAAAGAAATAAAATGAAAATCATTTAACGAAGAGAAATGAAAAAGATTTAAAGAAATTACACAATGTTACAAAATGTTTGTATTCTTAAATTAATTATCAATAAAAATTTGTAGGATAATTTAAACTATAATTCTATTTACAAGTTTCCGTTTTCATGAGCAAAATGTTGATTCTGTATCCTTTATCAGAAATATGTTTCTACCTGCAGAAAATTTTCACAATAATAGAGAGGATATAAAAAGCCTTTAATAGCAGTAATAAATAAAAAGTAATGCAACTTATAACAGCTTTCCTGAAACAGCCAATTATCATCTCATGCATACTAAATATCAATCTCTATGTCCCGATGAAAAGCTGGTACACTAATACAGCTGAGCAAACAAAATCAAAATCATTCTCCTATTATATCACTTAGTGAATACATTAGCTAATAGCAGCCACAGCACAAGCCTCTATGAAAGTGTGGAACCCTATTCATCTAGGTCACCATGAAAACAGTTTTCTCCATTTTCATTCCTGTTTAACAAGGTTCCACAAGTTCCACTAGTCATATTGGAGCACACATGCACCTGTAGCTTTAACAAAACTGCACTCTGTATATCTTTCTTCCCATTACACATAGTGTGTAGAAGTACTATCATTTACATACTGTACACTGCATTAATTTTACCCACCCTCACAATAATCTTCCCAAACCAATACCCCTCTATATTCTGTGTATAAATCTGCCTTATTCAGCATTTTTTTCCAAATGAACATCAATAAGCAGCAAAAATAACAAGTATGTTTACTTGGTTTCAGTTATCAATATGTTATTAAAGTGATTTTAACAATTTTAAGTGGAAAAAACAATGATTAACAGAACTCAAATCAAGCGTTATGTATAATTAATTAGTAGAAAGCATCATATGAAAGATTAAAATATAAAATCAGTGACAGAACTGCATTAATTCACAGTGGAATTTTAACAAAAATAACCGATGGTGATATCAACACTGTAACGAAGGAACTACTTTTTCTTACCTCTCTTGCTTAAACGCTTTAGTTTCGATACCAAGGGACTATCCTCAACTTGACCTGATGAAATAAAAAATACAAATTGTAGACTTGTCCAGATCATTCACAATGGCATTGATATATTGATGATTTCTACAGAAAGAGTATCATTTACCAATTGATTCAAGAATTATTAGTTAAGTTATATCGACGTGACAAATTTATCTGGCAATAAGCCCATGTCTGGTAATAAGCTTATCCAAATTGCAATTTCAGAAGAAATGTCAATAAATGGTAGGTCATTTCCCTTTAATATTAGGCCACCTTATTTACACAAGATTTATGTATAAGAACCCTTGGCTTATTGCAATGTAATAAGCCCACCCCCATTCAGACACAGATTATGTTTTAGGTCCCTCAAGTTAAGTTATATCGACGTGACAAATTTATCTGGCAATAAGCCCATGTCTGGTAATAAGCTTATCCAAATTGCAATTTCAGAAGAAATGTCAATAAATGGTAGGTCATTTCCCTTTAATATTAGGCCACCTTATTTACACAAGATTTATGTATAAGAACCCTTGGCTTATTGCAATGTAATAAGCCCACCCCCATTCAGACACAGATTATGTTTTAGGTCCCTCAGTTTATTGCACTGTATTAAGCCCAGCTCCTTTCACTCAGAGATTATAAATTAGGTCCCTGGGCTTATTACAGGATAAAGACAGCAATGTCAATCATCATCACTGGTCAGAATGATAGTGTTTATGTATGTTTGGGGATTAATCCGTTCTTAATTTATCAACATTTCAAGTAGAAGTATTTTGAAAACTTTCACTTTCAAAAAAGTAATTGTAAGAAGATTGAGATTTTGGGTTGTCCATGTAATAAAATGCTACAATATCTTGGTAAAATTCAACTCATACAACCTGGAGGAAACCACCATTTTTCTCCCTAAAATTTTATGAGTGTTACACAGTACTGACCAGCTATCTTATGGGCTACTGTAAATTTCTTGGCATCTGTTTCCTCCACTCGGCCCTTCCATCCTTGCTGTGAACTCTTGATCTGACTGACCCTGTCTGCAATACTAGAGGGCCTAGCGATGGGGGAAATTGACCGTTTTTCCCGAAGTTTCACTTCTACTGGACTGGATGCTCTTCCTTTAACATCAATAGGACTTTCGAAGTCAATATTCTTCGAAACTCTCTTCCTCCACTCCTCATCTCCACTTTTCTTTAGTGCACTCAGCCTGAAAAAAAATTTAAATGTGTCACAGTCAGAATTATCTCCCTTTTTCAAGAGATTTTTCAATGTGGCAGTATTTGATAACAATCATTTACGATTTATACATCAGAATGGAGTTGTGACATGGTAAGGTTCTACTTATATACATCAGAATGGAGGTTTGACATGGTAGGGTTCTACTTATACACATCAGAATGGAGGTGTGACATGGTAGGGTTCTACTTATACACATCAGAATGGAGGTGTGACATGGTAGGGTTCTACTTATATACATCAGAATGGAGGTGTGACATGGTAGGGTTCTACTTATACACATCAGAATGGAGGTGTGACGTGGTAGGGTTCTACTTATACACATCAGAATGGAGGTGTGACATGGTAGGGTTCTAGTTATACACATCAGAATGGAGGTGTGACATGGTAGGGTTCTACTTATACACATCAGAATGGAGATGTGACATGGTAGGGTTCTACTTATACACATCAGAATGGAGGTGTGACATGGTAGGGTTCTACTTATACACATCAGAATGGAGATGTGACGTGGTAGGGTTCTAGTTATACACATCAGAATGGAGGTGTGACATGGTAGGGTTCTACTTATACACATCAGAATGGAGGTGTGACATGGTAGGGTTCTACGATTTATAGATTAGAATGGAGGTGTGACATGGTAGGGTTCTTCAGAATCATCTCCAATAAATACTATGATCATTAACATCAAACCTCACATTGCCAGAACACTACTGGTTGTCGAGGAGACAATAACAGGCAACAGGGAGAGCCAAAATAAAACACTTTTAACAAAACAACCAAACGTCAATTAGGTGTAACTGTACTAGGCAGTGCTATAAAAGGAGAAACTGTTTCCTAACATATCTCCAAAGTTAAAATCGTACAGCCAGACTTACTTACAACACAGTTCACCCAAAACTAACGCCTAGACCCACCTGTCTTTGATAGAACTGCTGCTCCTGTCTTGTCCCTCGGCCAGTTTCTTTTCCTCGGGAGTGATTGGCTGAGTCTTGTGTCTGCCAGTGTACTTCCTGTGAGGGGTTTCTGGGGACTTGTTTGGGGTCGTAAGGTCAGCAGGCTGGGTCAGGTATCTGAAATACCAATCAAAACTCAATATGAGCCAAGTATATGATAAATTGTTATCAATGAAGTGGGTTTATTAATCTTTTTAATAAATTTAATTAAGGTCAGGTTTATCCTTCTAAAGAAGTTCTGTATCCTATTTATATATGATATATATAATTACATATTTTAGGCCACAAAATGTCTCCATGATATTTCAGGGTCTTAACAAAATAGTTTTTTTAATCAATTTGAATTTTGATGAATAATTTGCTCATCTTTGAGCTCTAATGATATGCAATGAAATCAATAAATGATTGATTGAATAGAGTAGGAATTATGATGGAATTATATGAATGAAAGGAGAATACTCAAATATATAACAAGTGCTTTAGAAAAGTCCAGATTTTTAAGTATCCGCTCTTAATATCATACTTAAATGAGCAGAATCTTTCTTGATCTGGACAATTCTGATGATAAAGATGGGATTAACTTTATAATGGATGAAGCAGGATAATAGAGTTGGATAGAAAGAAGAAAAGAATGGATAAATATTATGTATATGACCTACTATTGATTTACAGATGGTATTGTATACAGTTGTATATAGAACAGCGGGAAACAAGGATGCATTAATTCAAAGATTTATTATGTAAAAAAAAATTTTATTAGATATTTCAAGGAACAGTTTTCCCATGCATTTTAGATTGATGAAGTTCTTATTTATATCATGAGTTTATTAATCTAGATTTCATTTCTGTATAAAGGAAAGGTGTTAATTCTAAAAGTGAAGATGATTTTGAAAAAGAACATCGTGAAATATATTTATTCATCAAAAGGTTTTATTGATCATGCAGTCAATTCACGGAAATACAGCGAAACTTCTCCAAACCGACCATGCATTAGACCACGAATATTTGGCCATTTTAGGAAGGGTTCGGTTCGTAGAAGTGAAACAAGTTGACGGTCCAGACTCGGATATAATTGAACTGATTCAGTTCTGTACATTACATTGTAACAAAACTTGAGGAAGGAGTAGAAAAATCTAACTTGATTTTAAATTTGATTACACAGAGTATTTAAAGCTAATATAATTAGGCAGGTATCTAAAGAATAGAATGACGGATCGGACAAGAGCAATATATTTCAGGATATTGGTCAAAAAGTGTAAAAGTTGTATTTGGTGTACAAACCTTTTTCTAAGAGCTGCTACCTTGGACTGAATCATATTCCCACTGTAGATTTATATGAGAAATGTCATAAGAAAAAACCACTATTAAACCTCAGGTTAACCTTGGATACAAATTAGAAACATCACGTGAAAATCTCTTTCATCTTGGTAAAATATAGCAACAAACAGGTGCTCAATCACGCTACCAGAGAAAATACCCACAAAAATATTGCATCGTTTGGTGAGATCAGCTTGGAAAAAAAGTTTCAAAACACCATCCTATGTACACTACAACAACAAAAACTGACAGCATGAACATGTGAGAGAGGACAAGGTCATTTGATCATGAGAAATCTCCTTGAAACAACTCAATTACTGCCAAGTATTAAAAACATTTTGTCTTGAAACTTGATTCGTGCACTCAACCAACTTAGTGTAGCCTCTCAGTCACATCAGGAAAACACCGAAACAGCGACATTAATTTTTTCGTTTATTGCTGCCTCTTGTTTTTAAATTCCTGCTGTTTAAATGAAATCAGAAAAACAAACTAAAAACTATCCTTCCTGTGTAAACCTACCAATACAAAATCACCAATCTCGCCACATTGTAGCCGACACTTGTCACTTCCCGTTTAAATATCTCACAAAACAACCCTTGTATAACTACAGATCAATATCGCACATTAGTCAAACATTGATCCTTTGATTCATATATATTTTTTTTCATATCAAATCATCTTAAACCAAGACTTGCATACGCTATCAATCCAAAGCACTGGGTAAGTGCAAAAACCACTGATTAATGGACTAGTCCAGCTAACTGGAGGGGGGGATTCATTAATTTTTATCAACAGATATTGAAATTTGCATGGCTTCTAACTCATAGACACATCTTGATTCCTTCCTCAATCTTAAGTTAATTATATAGCAATAAGTTATGCTCTACTGCTAATTTCCTGATATGATGATTAACTGTGTTATCCAAAAATTCTAGACTTACACATGTAAGTCCCGTATAATTACAACACTATTCTTAAGCTCTACACAAAATTCTGATTTCTATATACAGATATAAAATCCATTAAGACCATGATCCATTTAATAATCCAACAGATTTAGTGGTAAATATTACACTCACTGTGTGTAAATGAAATTCCAATCAGACAAGGCCACAATAGTTATAACAATATTAGATTAATATTAACCAACACATAGTACATGCTAGTTGTACTAAATATAATGTTATTGTCGTAATACACCTACATTGCAGAAATTGAAACAAGGATATAACAAAGAATTAACTGGAACCTTAGAGAGAAATTACCATTATAATCAGCCAGCTAAAATGTAAGAATTCTATCCTGCATTACGTATACTGATGAAGAATCTAAAAACCGATCTATATGTATATCTGGTGCTCTCTCCGGAAACACAATGACTTCAGTCATAAATAATTCATACTATATATAGATCGCCACCGTGCTGTAACAACTGGCAGTAATGGTCCACACTTGAAATATAATCCAATGATCCCTCATTTATGTTAAACTAATCCATCATCTTTTTCAAATTAATCCATCATCTATTTCAAATAGATCCACCATCTACGTCAAATTCTTGTGATCTACCAACTAGGCCTATATCAAATTGATCCACATTTATTGCAAATTCAATGATCCACCATCTACATCAAATTCAATTATCCAACATCTACATCAAATTCAATGATCCACCATCTACATCAAATTCAATGACCCACCATCTACATCAAATTCAATGATCCACCATCTACATCAAATTCAATGATCCACCATCTACGTCAAATTCAATGATCCACCATCTACGTCAAATTCAATGATCCACCATCTACGTCAAATTCAATGACCCACCATCTACATCAAATTCAATGATCCACCATCTACATCAAATTCAATGATCCACCATCTACGTCAAATTCAATGATCCACCATCTACATCAAATTCAACGATCCACCATCTACATCAAATTCAACGATCCACCATCTATGTCAAATTCAATGACCCACCATCTACGTCAAATTCAATGACCCACCATCTACATCAAATTCAATGATCCACCATCTACGTCAAATTCAATGATCCACCATCTACATCAAATTCAACGATCCACCATCTACGTCAAATTCAATGACCCACCATCTACATCAAATTCAATGATCCACCACATAGGTCTATATGAAATAGATCCACTATCTATTGCAAATAAAGCTCACATATACTTAAATGTGGTCACCAGTATTGAAATGCTAAACAGATTAATGTCATACATATATAAATATACACCACATGTTGACATGTAAAATACATAAGTACCTTTATTACAATCTCATGTAGCTAATAGCTATTGGACTAAAATCATACGACAGACAAAGGATAGACAACATGCATATCAGTTATTACTAATACGATATGTAGGTTCACTGCATGTCACGTAAAATCCCAAGAATCGCCACACTCCACATCTAATCACTACCAGCAGAGCTGCTGATAACATTAACACAACTTTGATTTCACTACTGAATCCACATAAAAATTTCAACATAATATAAAACTACTTGTGTTAGATTGTCCACTTCACCTTGCTGCACAGAAGCAATTTACCAATGCAGGCATGACACAGAATAAAACAAAGTTTATACACTGGTTCCAGTGAGTATGTGACACTTCAGTATATCTGAACTCCAGCCAATTTGAAAACTAAAAGACAAGTTACCACCAACACACAAACCTGTGGAAATGTTTATCACAACTTCCTAAGTCTGACATCATTGCTTTTCCTCTGTATGTAGAGATCCAACCTTGTAAGATGTATCAAGCATGATAGCCTTTATATATAAGCCCGGTGATCAGAACTCATACCTGTACAGGTATACAGCTCAGGTGTACAGATTACAGGTACAACAGATCCGACATAAATTCACCATGTCCATCCAATAGTGTAATTAAACTGGCCAAGTAAACAAAGGCCACAGCATAAATAGTGCTCGATGGAGTTTTAACGGGAGTTTATCGAGTGGGTGAGCTAATATCCAGACTAGGGTGAAGTTAACATAGCTCTGTAATATATATATACACACAGACACAACAGCTGTGGTGGTACACATCGATGTAAATGCCCTCGAGTACTTTAATTCTAAAATCAGAGATAGCATCTCCTTTAATCAAAATCATTCAAATGTTATGCCCAAAACTGAAAAAAATATTCCCACCTAGACATATCCCCAAAGTACAATTTATTTGGTCAATTAGCTGACTGTTCAGGTTTAAGGACAGAATGAGTTTATCAAAACTCTAATCACATTCATTTTAAAATCATAATATAAGATTTTTTTTAACTACGACGTGATTTAATATAATTTCATTTTTGTGATATATAACAAATTTGATGTTTATTTTTTTATGATGTTTTTCCCTATCTGAATTTTTAGATAATGATGTATGATAAAAAATGAGATGGAGTTAGTCTGTAAAACCATTTAAAAATTTAGCCAACATCACCATGGAAATTAAAGAATAAAAACTAATCAATGGAATGGAAGTCACATTTACTTTACCTAGTGAATCAATTATGAAACTCTTACCTCTCTGCTTGTTTCTTATCCCTTCCCTTTTTTCTAGTTAGATTTTCAGTGTCTGTAGTATCTGGTTTTTCTTCATGTTCTGTCTTCACGGAACCGTTTTCCACAACAGGTGTTGACACTTCCTCAGGAGCAGACGACACCTCTGGTTTCTCTTCATTATCTTTGACCTCTGCGGTTTCTTCTGAAGAATCTTTCTTTAAAATTCCGCGTAATTCACTCAGGAATGCTGCGTCTTTCATGGGACCTTTTCTCAGGACACTTTTATCGGGTTCCGATTTCTTCAATTCAAAACTACTTTCCTTTTTCAGAATTCCTCTAGGTTCTGATTTTTCATCTGCACTATCCTTCCTCTCTACATCTTTGTCGGCAGGAGTTTCGCGTTTCAAAATGCTTTTAGGATCATCATCCATTTCCGTGGATGAGGCTACTACCTTCGTAACCGGCTCATCATCTGGTCTTGAAATTTCTGTTTGTTTATCTTCTACGCTAGTAGTCTTGTCATTGTCTTCGGTTTTAAGTATACTGTGAGGTTTGTCTGACACCTTACTAACTGATAAATCTTCCTCCTGATGTTTCAAGATACTTTTTGGTTCTGTGAGAGATTCTTGCTCCTTTTCGGTATCAGTTTTGAGAATTCCTCGTATATCCCTCTCGGGACTCTTTACATCCGATTTCAAAATACTTTTCACATCTTTGGATTCTTTAGATGAATCAGAATTGTCTGGTACTACAATTTAAAATTAAACAAGGTTGTTGTATATAATTAAAAACTTTCAATTCCAAAAGAGTTAAAATAAGATATAATCTGTTAACTTCAACTAAATTCAATAAATCATTAATACTATGTTTTAAGATTTGTTGAATTTTCCACTCAGTACTATTAAATCAGGTGTTTAATCAGTCTTGACTTAATCCACAAACATTATATAGCACGAATACCAGATTTTTAAATATGATATGCAGATTTAGTATATTTCATAAACAACAGGATTTTGAAAAAGAAACATACTTATATACACAAATAAACAGAAGACATCTTGATTTTTTTTGTTTTTTTTTTTTTTTTTGAAGTAGCCTACATAGTAAACTTTTACATGTACTTTATGTAAGACACTATGTAACACCACAAATGGCCGCCTGTCTGACTGCACAATAAAATGCAACCTACAGTGAGTTTAAAATGACACGACGTACGAGCTAGTCATTATGATCACAACAATTATAAATTACACGGGCCATCTCCACCATTCTATGTAATAACACTTGTCTCTTTTATATCCCTACTGTTTATGATTGAAACTCAATGCATGAATTACGTTCAAACAAGTGCAGCTGGTTTCCAGTGTTAAGCAACAGAAGGTATGGACAAATTTAACTTAAAATACCATTATTATCTGCACCGGTATCACACTTAAGTATAGAGGCTGGCCGAACATTGCACGTTCTAATAAATCTAAACGAAGCTTCAACAGGTTTTAAGTTCAATCTTTTGTCTAACAAAAAGCAAAGTGATGAGTTAATTTTCAAATCATTGCTGGTATCTAGAACATGTGCAGTTTGAAAGACGTGCATCCCATTCATCGCGCCGCGTTTATAGTTATTTAACTACTAAAGATGTTACAGGCCTAAGTGTGAATAGCGGAGAGCGCTTCCTGTCATTTAAAGTCACACCTCTTAATCAGAAAGTTCACAATTTCTACAGAAAAATGTTAGTTCAAGAGACACAGCTTGTGTTACAGGAAAATAATCTTATCCTCTATTTGAGAGACCTCTGTCTACATAACACAGAGGTAATGATATCTTCTATCTAAAGTTGTAAACAAACAAAATCCTTACAATGTCAAAACGGATTGGTATTAGTAAATTTGGGACAAGACTTGACCATCTCCTACCCACAAATGGTATTGGTATGATAATCAGGCCGGACTTGTCAACTCACCTTTATCCTGAGCTGTTTCCGCAGTGACAACGTTTCTGACATCTGAAAGTGATCCTTTCTGAGATCCTTTTCTTAGATCTGGAGCTGACCCTTTCCCCAGATCTGCCACAGATCCTGCCTGAGATCGCGTTCCAAGGTCACTGGTTGATCCCTTCTGGGACCCCCCAGTCGCCAAGTCCATCATTGATCCATGGCGAGAACTTGACCGTGAGGATGGGGTGGACAGACACATCTCAGCATGCTGAGCTACGAGGTCCCGTTGGGCACTGAGGGGCAGGGTTTTGAGGAGCTCTGGGTCTGGGGGCTTAACCAGACTCATTGCTAAGGGTGAGATTCGATACTCGGCAGCTTTCTCAACTTCTTCTATTGTCACAGGCTAAAAGAAAATACATATTTTGTTTACTGAATTGATAGATAGACCTATATCAAATCATACATAATTTCCTCATTTTCCTTATAGCAATGAAAATCTCTAAATTTATATTGATAATCATTAATATGAAAGTATTCTTAAATCACTGATTTGTGTGAAAGAAAGAAAGAAAGAAAGAAAGAAAGAAAGAAAGAAAGAAAGAAAGAAAGAAAGAAAGAAAGAAAGAAAGAAAGAAAAAGAATGAAAGAAAGAAAATGTTTATGCTATGAATGTTTCCGGAGTGCTTCATTAACATTTTTCATACAGTATTCAATATGTGACATTTTACCTAGCTGAAATGAATCTGTATCTAGTTATGTATATTTATTTCGTAATGCCATAACCTGTACGGTGTCATATGGGCCTGTTTATTTCTAGCTCTGAAATACTTTACGGCAAACGCCCACTTTCCTATTCATAGGAATACTTAAAATTTCAAAAACTGCTTACAACTTTTATACACCATTTAGATTGATGTTTTTTATCACATAATCAGAAGTGTTTTCACTCATGCGTGTCCATCTGACTTTACTTCATTGAAAGTGTTTTTCATAGTTGGCCAGCATTTCTTACTGGCTTCTTAGTTAACAGCATTAATGAAATATTCTTGAACCCGAAATAAACATTTTAAACACAAATTATCAGCAAAGTAGATTTTAGCAATCACTGAAGTTTTGTTTGAGTAAACTTGTCAAAACACCTTACTACAATTTTACAAGAAAAAAAAATGCAATCAATTTAAAAAAAGAAAATTTGGTAGGAAATCTATTGCTACCTGGTCGATATTTTCAAGCCAAAATGAAATCAAACAGACATATATATGCATCAAAAGTTTGAAAGATGACATCATAATTACTGATATTCTTACACAGTTTGTTGACTAAAACATCTACTGACAGCTAGAATGAAATGCTCCGAAATACTCCAGGACTTCTTATGGATTGTATACAGCTCAGTGTTTCAAGTTATGGCAATAATTTGGAAAAAAACAAATTAATGAAAAAAACACAGACATGTAATATTTATTACTTAATGGCAGTTAAATAGCTGATTTGGCAAATCTTTCCTCCAGTACATCAACTGATACAACCTATCTAATGCCAGAAAATTAAATTTCAAGGGTATGTATGTATAATCTTTCACTTATCTGACAAGTTCAAATCTTGTTTATTTATAGAATATATCTAATCAGACTTTGATTTTACAGACTCCTTTTTAACAAGAACAATTTAGACTTTGATGAAAGTCATCTAAATTTCTTCAAACATACCTTATATTTCCATAGTTAAACCAAAATTACCAGACCTTCATGCTCCAGTTGGACCATAATGGAGAATTTTTTTTAAAATATTGTTATCGCTTAAGTTGTAACCTACATAAATGTTCAAAAACACAGGTAGGAAATTTAAACTTTCATTATCGTCAGAATTTTACACCTAAGTACGTCACTGACTGGTATGAAAGTAGTACACCTTTAAAAGGGATATCAGATATAAGTTGTGTTATCTATATTGAAGTGTATACTTTTCACTAAAGTACCACATTTTATCAAATAAATGCAAACTTTTATACTGGTCTGACATTTTTCTCCCGACTAGTATATTGAACCAACAGACAAAATACTACTCTTAATTTTTTCTAAGGTTCTGAAATCATTATACTTTTCTCAAAAGTTAAATTTTCCCGGGTGTTTATTTGAACGAATACAGTAAATATATTGCACCAACAGACAAAATAGTTTTTTTTTAAATTTTTTAAGGATCTAAAATTATTATATTTTTCACGAATGCTAAATTTCCAAGGGTGTTTATTTGAATGAATACAGTAGATACTAAAGTAGATATCAAACAATACTTGGTCAGTATCAAATGATTGAAAAACATATCAGTCATGGTATTTTCAACTTTGCCGTGATGGCACACTTCTTCCTGGTAGTCATAGATATCAGGAAGTTTAATTTAGTGGAAAGCAATTCAAAACTTGGTCCTTTGAAGTTGACAAGAAAGTATCACTTGATCTCAAAGATGTGATGTGATGTGATGGGCCTCCTGTATGTCTTTCAGTGAGGTATAGCCCCTGGAATTGTCACAGAGCTATAAACCCATAATTATAACTATCAAATTCTTGTAATAAGCCCAGCTCATATTTTGTATTAGCTACTGTGCTAACAGAAAGATGAAAATGGTATGTATATTCTCACTCAGATAAGATGTACAAAATAACAGCTCAATGTATATACTCAAATAACAGCTCAATGTATATACCAAAATAACAGCTCAATGTATATACCAAAATAACAGCTCAATGTATATACCAAAAATAACAGCTCAATGTATATACCAAAATGTATATACTCAAATAACAGCTCAATGTATACACCAAAAATAACAGCTCAATGTATATACCAAAAATAACAGCTCAATGTATACACCAAAAATAACAGCTCAATGTATATACCAAAAATAACAGCTCAATGTATACACCAAAAATAACAGCTCAATGTATATACCAAAAATAACAGCTCAATGTATACACCAAAAATAACAGCTCAATGTATATACCAAAAATAACAGCTCAATGTATATACCAAAATAACAGCTCAATGTATATACCAAAAATAACAGCTCAATGTATATACCAAAAATAACAGCTCAATGTATATATACAATGTATATATCAAAATGTATATACTCAAATAACAGCTCAATGTGTATACCAAAAATAACAGCTCAATGTATATACCAAAATAACAGCTCAATATATATACTCAAAATTAACAACTCAATGTATATATATATATACCTAAAATAACAACTCAATGCATATTCCAAGGTAAACTTTACTTTAAAACATTGAAGGAAAGTGCTGATGATTCAATTATATATGAAGAACATCAATGAAAGCCTATTTTGTCTATTTGTAAAGGACTTGTTGTAACTGTTAAAATTGTTCAATAATACAAGATTTTTGTAAAACAAATCACTGCTAATAAAATACCACACAAACAGCTTCACAAGATCAACAGCACACTGAAGTTATCAACATTCACAAGTGTCAAAATTAATCTTAACCTAAAAACATTCTCCTAAGGCCAGCAGATGTGGGAGTGTTATCTGAGGGAACACAGTATTGGGTGTATAAGGATAGACAAACTTGTATCTAATACACAGTCTTACTGTTTACATAGATCAAGTTTATCTGTCAATTCAAACTCATTTATTACACATAACAGTGTAAAATTCTAATATCACTTCCAACTGCCTGGTACATCAAGGCAATAATTTCACCAAATCATATCACAGATTTCTCCAAAAGCAAAATAAAGAGATACCTTGTCAAGTCAAGCAACTTTGAGGGATGTGTGTAGAATGAATCCTTCATTGTCAGTCTAGACACTGTAGTTTGTGTGTACAGTAGAACTTTGTTAGTCTGGACACTTTGGTTTGTATGTACAGTAGAACTTTGTTAGTCTGGACACTTTGGTTTGTATGTACAGTAGAACCTTGTTAGTCTGGACACTTTGGTTTGTGTGTACAATAGAATCTTGCTAGTCTGGACACTTTGGTTTGTATGTACAGTAGAACTTTGTTAGTCTGGACACTGGTTTCTGTGTACAGTAGAACCTTGTTAGTCTGGACACTTTGGTTTGTATGTACAGTAGAATTTTGTTAGTCTGGACACTTTGGTTTGTATGTACAGTAGAACCTTGTTAGTTTGGACACTTTGGTTTGTGTGTACAGTAGAACCTTGTTAGTTTGGACACTTTGGTTTGTGTATACAGTAGAACCTTGTTAGTCTGGACACTTTGGTTTACATGTTAACTGGAATCTGTGGTTAATTTCTGTGTAAAGTAGAACCTCATTTAAAAGAAAAGAAAAGAAATAAAACAACACTTGAATATAGCAATATTTTCTTGGATATTTAGGTCAGGATGAGAATATAAAAGGTCAATATCGCTTTGTATCTTACCTGTGTGTTGAATCTGGATGCGACCTTGCGATTACGTCTTCGTAAAACTGGCGCCTTGGATGGAGCTTTCTTTTCCTGCTCCTTCAAACTTGAGAACAGTTTCACTTTTTCGGCAAGGCTACATCTGAAAGTCAAACCACAAATTTCAATGGTATTTTACTTTGGCTCAATAACTAAGTAAACAAATATACTGTGACATCAAAACCATTTTTCCAATATCCCTGTTGTGAAGTAGATAAATCTACAGAACAGATCAAGATACAAGTGGTTATTCATTTCTCATGTTAACACAAATCAGTCAAATTTCCTACACATGCACATAGAAAACAGTTCTACAAGGAAGAGAAAACTCCTAAATTGGACACCCCTAGAAAATCCTCCTATTATCTCCGTGTGTTCATCAAACATAAAAGGAAGGAATAAAGAAATACTACACTGCAGAATAATGAATGTTAAGATTATAATGACTTACTATTACAGAACTGACTTAGAAATGACAAAGAATGATCAGCAATCAGAGATTTTGTATCATAATTATGTACCTGTAAACAAATAAGTAGACCTGTGTCGGGGTCATTTTATAATGTGTGTAACAGTGGCACAATTATAATGTGACATGCATTTCACCCTACAGGCAGTTTATACCTGGTAATATCATTCTGAAATGTCTATATAGCTACACACACAACCTACACCTGGTAATATCATTCTGAATAGTCTATATACACACACAACCTGCACCTGGTAATATCATTCTGAATAGTCTATATACACACACAACCTGCACCTGGTAATATCATTCTGTATAGTCTATATACACACACAACCTGCACCTGGTAATATCATTCTGAATAGTCTATATACACACACAACCTGCACCTGGTAATATCATTCTAAATAGTCTATATAGCTACACACACAACCTACACCTGGTAATATCATTCTGTATAGTCTATATACACACACAACCTGCACCTGGTAATATCATTCTGTATAGTCTATATACACACACAACCTACACCTGGTAATATCATTCTGAATAGTCTATATACACACACAACCTACACCTGGTAATATCATTCTGTATAGTCTATATACACACACAACCTGCACCTGGTAATATCATTCTGAATAGTCTATATACACACACAACCTGCACCTGGTAATATCATTCTAAATAGTCTATATAGCTACACACACAACCTGCACCTGGTAATATCATTCTAAATAGTCTATATAGCTACACACACAACCAACACCTGGTAATATCATTCTAAATTGTCTGTTGTCTTTACAAATCTGATTTTTTTAGGTGAGATTACACATCATCTGATGGTATAAAAGGATATTGGAATCGTGGAATACAGGCTCCACAACCTCTGACACACAGTAGACCTGTACAGTTCCCCTTACTGTTTGTATATATATAACTTAGGCAATCAAAGCACAGGTATAATTACTACCTATAGTTGGTGGGTATTTAATTGTTTAGGCCAAGGCATTCTGTATCAAGTGTGCACACGTTAACAATGATATGCAAAACACTAAATATAACATATCTAGACAGATCTGTGTGTTCACATCAACTTTTGAACATTGGTTAACCATTCTCCTTACCTTAGTCTGTTATATAACTTGTAAAGATCCTATAACTTTGTGTAATCATATTACTACTCAGTAATTCTGTAATTTTATGATGATCCTATAATTTTGTGGTAATCGCTATACCATCGCAGTAATCTCTTTAAAACTGTGGTAATCTCTATAACACTGTGGTAATCTCCATAACACTGTGGTAATCTCTATAACACTGTGGTAATCTCCATAACACTGTGGTAATATCTATAACACTGTGGTAATCTCTATAACACTTTGGTAATCTCTATAACACTGTGGTAATCTCTATAACACTGTGGTAATCCTATAACACTGTGGTAATCTCTATAACACTGTGGTAATATCTATAACACTGTGGTAATCTTCATAACACTGTGGTAATCTCTATAACACTGTAGTAATCCTATAACACTGTGGTAATCTCTATAACACTGTGGTAATATCTATAACACTGTGGTAATCTTCATAACACTGTGGTAATCTCTATAACACTTTGGTAATCTCTATAACACTGTGGTAATCCTATAACACTGTGGTAATCTCTATAACACTTTGGTAATCTCTATAACACTGTGGTAATCCTATAACACTGTGGTAATCTCTATAACACTGTGGTAATCCTATAACACTGTGGTAATCTCTATAACACTGTGGTAATATCTATAACACTGTGGTAATCTTCATAACACTGTGGTAATCTCTATAACACTTTGGTAATCTCTATAACACTGTGGTAATCTCTATAACACTGTAGTAATCCTATAACACTGTGGTAATCTCTATAACACTGTGGTAATCTCTATAACACTGTGGTAATATCTATAACACTGTGGTAATCTCTATAACACTGTGGTAATCTCTATAACACTGTGGTAATCCTATAACACTGTGGTAATCTCTATAACACTGTGGTAATATCTATAACACTGTGGTAATCTTCATAACACTGTGGTAATCTCTATAACACTGTGGTAATCTCTATAACACTGTGGTAATATCTATAACACTGTGGTAATCCTATAACACTGTGGTAATCCTATAACACTGTGGTAATCTCTATAACACTGTGGTAATATCTATAACACTGTGGTAATATCTATAACACTGTGGTAATCCTATAACACTGTGGTAATCTCTATAACACTGTGGTAATCTCTATAACACTGTGGTAATATCTATAACACTGTGGTAATCTCTATAACACTGTGGTAATCTCTATAACACTGTGGTAATCTCTATAACACTGTGGTAATCTCTATAACACTGTGGTAATCTCTATAACACTGTGGTAATCTTCATAACACTGGTAATCTCTATAACACTGTGGTAATCTCTATAACACTGTGGTAATCTCTATAACACTGTGGTAATCTTCATAACACTGTGGTAATCTCTATAACACTTTGGTAATCTCTATAACACTGTGGTAATCTCTATAACACTGTGGTAATCTCTATAACACTGTGGTAATCCTATAACACTGTGGTAATCTTCATAACACTGTGGTAATCTCTATAACACTTTGGTAATCTCTATAACACTGTGGTAATCTCTATAACACTGTGGTAATCCTATAACACTGTGGTAATCTCCATAATACTGTGGTATTCTCCATTACACTGTGGTCATTTCTATAAATCTGTGGTTGTTATTTAAGTTTGTGATTATCTCCACAGCTTTGTGGTGATTCTACAACTTTGAAGTAATCTCTTTACCACTGTGGAAATTCCATAACTTTGTGATAATTCTATACCTTTGTGGTGATCCCATCACTGTTTAGAATCCCTATATTTTTGTGTTAATATGGTGACAAACTGTCAGATTTATTTCTATCAACACTGAAAATGTTAAAAATAAATGGTTGTTTGAAAGGCTTCAGTTGACCTTTATTATCAGAGGTCAAAATCAAAAGGGTACAAATCCATCAAAACAGAAATAGCATTGTATTTTTCAATGGCCCTAACTCAGAAGTCTAAAACCTGTTACAGCAAATATTCCTCTCAGATTGTATACTGAAAGCATTAAGCAACCACATGCTGTTGCCTCATTATCCTCGCTGTTCAATTTTTGTATTAAAATCACTGAGGCAAAGAATGATACACAAGAACATTTTATAAAGTCACAGTTATGGTATGCTATCTCAGTAAGTTTTAATATCGCCCTGTCATAATATTTAAGTGCCTTCATTTTCTATGTAAATGTAGGTAGGGAAAAAAGTGGTTATGTGCTTATTTTCACTGCTGTGTCATTATAAAATCAGCCATGAAACCATATACACACGATCAAAAACACATTATGTTTATAGATATGGAAAGAATTCTATCTCAGTGTTTCACTTTTTAACATAAAAGTGCACGGTATAAATGTGTGAATGTCTGAGATATCACTTTCTGCTTTTCTTTAATTTTATCAATTAATAACATTTATATTTTTTCACTTGACCTGATAACTAAAACATAAATATTTGAGATTCAACCTTACCTCAACCAACTAAGAAATATCTATATGAGATTTCATTTACCTGGTAAGTAAGAAATATCTATGTGAGATTTCACTTACCTGGTAAGTAAGAAATATCTATGTGAGATTTCACTTCCCTGGTAACTAAGAAATATCTATCAGATTTCAATTTACTAGTAACTTAGCCATATCTGTGAGTTTACTTCTAGCTACAAGACCTTATCTGTCACCTTAAACAGACATGTACCTTTCATTAATTAACAGATATCCACTTGTTACTTAGTAACACAAAAAATCTGTAAATAAGTTACATACACTATTATTTAGTAACAAGACCCTATCGGTAAGTATAATGACATACCATTTATCAACACAACAGATAGGTTTCTAAATTTGTACAAACACTAACCTGTTTCTTAAAGTAACAGACACCTATCTGTTATTTAGTAACAGACACATGTGTCACTAAATAGCATTAAACTTGACAGTTAGTAACCGACTTACCTGTGACTTAGGAACACAGACTACAAGTGAAGAATTTAATCCTATGTGTTACACCCTTGCTCAGTTTTAACTAACTGCTGAGAACAAGAGGAAGTAAAATGCGTGTGTGCTATACATAAAGCACCCGTCAATATAACACCTAGAAGGGTATGTCATTTGACTGACTTTGGGACTGGAAGGGCAGGTCTTCATATTAATCCATTTACAAAAAGGACGAGACGAGGATGAACTGACGATAAGATCAGAAACAACACACCACATCACGACTATCACAAAGGTAAACCAGACACCTACTGATAATGATGGTTACTTTCTGACATTTCTGTAGAGAAAATAAAGTTGAGCATGCGTAACCTTAACCAAGTTTTTATAGGACATACTGGTTCTACGTGATATATACTGAATACTGTAATCTTGTCCTGCAGTAAGGCTACCTACAAAAAGCATACAAATTGCTGATCAGTAGGAGTGTATATGCTTTAGCATTGTCTTGTAATAATCAACCCTTCCCTTGATCAGATTCTGTATGTTGGCCCCTTTTAC